GCAACCTTTAAACACAGGAAATCAATCCATACAATTTAGCGCACCGTGCAGGGAGTGCCTTGAACCTTTAGATTAGGTGAAAAAAATTATAACTACTGAAAAAAATTGGTTTTAATGTTTCTTTTCCTTCTTATAGCCTCCGAGACAAGCAGCCTCCAACTCCAAGGGAATTAGAATTTTCTGCACCTGCTGTTGGAAGCTTAGAAAAGCACCGGTGAGCTAGCTAATAACCTCAGCTGAATATTGCTCAATTTGTAAACAGGAAACTTTACGACTATCCTCTACATATAATAAGCATAAATTATAATAGAATACTTTGAAACTTTGGTCGATCTTGGCTTCAAATCAGCGGCAGTGTCAAATCTAAACAGTGATCAACAGTGCCTAAAATTTAGCATCAATTGATCATGATAAAGCAAGGAGATATCTTACTCTATATTTCACTTGGGTACTGTTCCATACAAGAAATAATTTAGCTTAATCTACTTTTTCTTTATGTGATTATTACAGCTTGCTCGGTATATTATACTGTAACAGGGCAACCCCTCTAAACCAATTATTTAGGTGATGAACAAATTCGCTCGTGATCAGACAGCAAGAACAAACTTCATTGTTACAGGCGGCTCCGCTTGTTCAGCATTGCTGGCTTGAAACTGGCAAGTCCAGTAACTTCCCTACCAGTCACCAAGCTGTTGATGTCATAAGTGCCTTCATATGTGTAGATGGGTTCCAAATCACAAAATGCCTGTGCCATAAAATACAAATAAATCAAACCTAAAAAATCAAAGCCCTGATTTGACCACTTACACGACAGATCTGTTTCAGTCTTCGTTAATCTAGAGAAAATCAACCATTACAAAGGCTACCAGAGTCCTGGAAGAAAAATGTTAAGTAATCATCTTCTATTTGCATGCTTAAAATTTTAATGAAATGAACCGGGTTCTAGCTTTTCCCAGTCCCTCACTAACCGACTTCTTACATAAATAGGAGTGTGGTTCTAATGATAAATTCCTACCTAAAAATCTTAAAGTGTTAGATATGCTAGGTTGGATTTGAATTATATGGAATAAGAATGAGAATAAAACGCAAATTTGACTAAAATTTAAATTATAATAATATTCTGAGTTTTAGTCAATTAATTCTCTATTTAATTCAGGTTAGGCGTTTTATAATTTCCCTAGTAACAAGCGAAAATACAAATCTATTATTATAGAATTGAAAAGTAGAGTTACTTTGACCAAATTCTATATATTATATAATTTTTAAAAAAATAAAAAGTATAAATTAATGACAAACTAGAAAGGTACTAACCCACGTACAAAATATTTATATATGTACCAAAATATCGACAAGATTTTCTAAATCCTTAATTGAATAGAGAGAATGACACAAAATAAAAAAACTAAAAGTCTAGACCATCTATTCCTAACCCTATCAAAGTCATCATCATCATCTACCCTCTCAAAAGTTCTTTTATCTATCTCCTTCTAAACCATCCAAAAAAGGATGAATGGGATGAGGTCCCATGTTTCCTTTGACCATTGATACCCATTCATGCCCAAATTTCGTCTCTAACCAAGTCAGCCATCACCCAATTGATTCCCAATAACCCGTCATTATAGTCCATAGCTTGTCGGCTATCAAACATCATAGAAGTACATGATTACAAGTCTCTGCAGCGCTTTTAAACATATAACAACCGTTTGCTATAATCTTTCCTCTTCTCATCAATTTGTCAATAGTCAGAATGCACCTGCTACCGGCTCCTCACACAAAGAAAACTACTCTATGAGGGGCTTTAACCTTTCATTTTCTAAAAAAACAAAACTTGGTACCAGTGATTTCATGTTTAGCCAGATGCTTGTAGAAAAATCTTACCGAAAAGGACCCTGTACTAGTGAGATACCAAACTGGTTGGTCGTTGCTACTATCCAAAGACATGAAAAATAAAGCATTTAGGAGATTTTCATACTCATTAATCTTCCAATCGTTAAGGTTTTGTTAGCATATTTACATGCCACACCTTTTCCCCCTAATTTTCTGAAGAGTCACTAATCATAATATTTTTTTTATTATGTGATGGAAATAATATGAGGATACTGATCTCTAAGGGCTTCGTCTTCCAGCCACAGGTCTTGCCAAAAACTGATGCTATCACCCTTGCCAACCCTCTATTTAATGCACACTTGGAATCCATCCATACCTGTACATTTTATTTTTCCACATTCCTTTCCGATACCGTCTTGACAAGGCTCTAGTATATCAATCTCTCTTATATGTTCCAAACTTCACTATTGTCACCATTCTCCACATATAACTTCTTTCATAAACCTCCAAAGCCATTTACCCTGTAAGGCCATGTTCATTTTCACAAAAGCTCTTAACCCAAACCTCCTTGGGATATTGGCTTCTTAATCTCATCCCAAGCTACCAAATAATATTTTTTTCTTTTCTCTAAATCGCACCATAAGAATTTGCACTGACTAGTCTCCAATCTCCTTGCAACACTCATCGGGATAGTCAAGAGGGATATGTAATAAATAGTAAGTAAATCAGCAGCTTTTGATGAGTGTAAGTCTCCCCCTTTAAAAAGAAGAGCTATGTTCCATCCCGCTAACCTCTTTTCAGACCCGGACAACATAGGATCCCACATTCCCAACTCTTTATAATTGGCCCATAATGGTAACTCTAAATATTCAATCGGCAATTTTACTGCTTTATAACCCATAACCCTCTCCAGCTTATCAATATCTCTCTCATCAGTCAGTCTAAATAGCTCAGACTTGGTAAGATTGATGCTGACCCCTAAACTGCTTGGAACTCATCAAAACACACTTGACATTGAACATTGCTTGCTTGTCAGACTCATAAAATAGTATGGTATCATCTGCAAAAAGTAAATGGGTTACCTCCTCAGTGTGTTCCCCTGCTCCCACTTTAAGACCTCTGAACAATTCTAACTCCGTGGCTCTTCTCAACATCTTATTCAAAACTTCCATAACCACAATAAAAAACAAGGGGCACAATGGGTCTCCCTGCCCTAAGACCTTTAGAAGTCTTGAAAAAAGAAGACACACCTTCATTGACCATTACTGCAAAAATAAGCGGCATGCAGGTCTTAATCCATTTACGCCATTTCTTCCTAAATTCCATTCTCATTAGCAAATAACCCAAAAAGCTCCAGTTTGCATGATTGTATGCTTTCTCCATATCAAACTTGCATAGGACTCCCTCTCTCTTCTTGTACACATTTGTCCACCATTTCATTAGCAATAGGTGTGGCATCAAGAATATGTTTGTCTCCCACGAAATCATGCTGGCATCCACCTACCAACTGTCAAAAATTAGTGCAACTTACAGATCATGGTTGCTGAAAAGTTGCTACCAAAGTCAAGAGTCTGTTTTTCGCTTTCCTTCTATTTGTGAATTTATTTGTATTTGCCTTTCTTTAAGAAGCTTGTTGATATAATAGTAGTAGCATGTTAGTTTTGTTGAGATAATGGCAGCAGCACGTTGGTGCTCCTGTAAACAAGCAATTGAGATTTTCTAGGAACTCTTTTAGTATTTAAATCTTCTGCTGTTAATATTCTTAAGTGTGAGATGTTTTAAGTTATTCATTGAGCAATAAACTTCTTGTTCTGTTTTTTCTTATATATATCAAGTGGTTGAGTTTTTGTTTCATAGTCTCAGAGTTTGGGTTTATTCTTATCAAGTGTTTTGAGTTCTGGTTTTTCCAAGTTGTCTGCCAAGTGTTTGATTTTATTCCTCAATGAATATGAATAATGGAAGCAGTGTCTCTCAAGCCACTATAGAGAAGCTTGTTCGTAACAATTATAGTTACAGGAAATTATGCATGGAAGATTATTTACAAGGGCAAGATTTGTGGGATCTTATCTCTGGTGATGAAGTTGAAATTCTGAAGGATACGCAACAAAATGTTGAATTGCGCAGGAAATGGAAGATAAAGTGTGGCAAAACCTTGTTTGCTTTGCGAACATCAATCAGCAAAGAGTACATCGAGCATGTTCGAGATTTACAGTCGCCGAAGCAAGTGTGGGACACACTTGAGAGGTTGTTCACCCCAAGAACACAATGCGGCTACAGTATTTGGAGAATGAACTTGCTGGGATGACTCAAGGTAATCTTTCAATTTCAGAATATATTTTGAAAGTTGAAACCATGTGTGCTGAAATTTTAGAGCTGGACGCGGAAGAGCCAATTAGTGATGCCCGTTCACGTCGTTATCTTATTCGTGGACTGCGGAAAGAATTCATGCCATTTATTTCTTCAATACAAGGGTGGGCAATTCAGCTCTTTATCATTGATTTGGAAAACCTTCTTTCAAATTAAGAAGCTTTGGTGAAACAAATGACCAGCAATAACAAGCAATCTCTCTCTCAGGTGGAGGATGTTCTTTATACAAAAGATAAAGCAAAAAATAACTTTTCCACTCAATCTAGAGGAAATTCAAAACAGATGGGCAGTCTAGAGGAAATTCAAAAGGTTGTTACAAGTACGGGAACCAGGGACACTTAAAGCGCGATTGTCATGTGAAGATGGTATGTAATTGATGTGGAAAACCTGATCATATCAAACGGAATTGCCGTGAAGCATAAGCAAACATTGTACATGAAAGTGGTGAATATGAACAACCAAAATGGGAGCATTGCTTATCCATTGAAGTTATCAATCAACAAATTAATTCCAACACAGATGCATGTGTTAATGCTTCCATAGACTACAAGAAGGAATGGATTGTTGATTCAGGTTACTCCCATCATGCAACAAGAAATGATTTCTTACTCTCTGATGTTCACCCACATTTTGAAAAAGAGTTGTTGTGACAACTAATAATTCTTTCCATCCTATATTAAAAGAAGAGATTTCAACGTCAACGCTAATATTTCAAATGATGGAGGTGTTTCACTTAAGAATGTTTATCATCTTCTAGGCTAAAAGAAGAATCTTGCCTCAGTTTCTCAATTAACTAATTCTGGGATGTATGTCCTTTTTGGTCCAAATAATGTAAAGATTCTTTCAAATATCAAGCACATTGTAGCTGATGTTTTATTCATTGGTAAAAGAAAAGAATCATTGTATATATTGTCTGCGAGTGATAAGTATGTTGAAAAGACACCGCAGAATGCTAGCGCAACACTTTGGCATGCTCGACTAGGACATGTTGGCTACCAATGATTGCGGAAAATCTCTATTGCAAACCTTCTTGATGGAGTTGCAATCTTCAAAGACATTAGACATAATATTGTTTGTGCTAGCTGTCAGGGAAATCTCATCGCCTTCATTTTCTAAATTCAACACATAGAGCTTCTATAACATGACAATCAGTCCACTCAGATCTCATAGGGCCAACAAGAACACCTAGCTATACTGGTTTTCATTATCTATTGGTTTTCATGAATGACTTTTCTCGATTTTGTTGAGTATACTTCCTTAAAAATAAGACTGAAATTTCTTTAAATTTTATTCTTTTTAAACAGCAGGCGAAGAAAGAATTGACTTGACGATAAAGTATCTGTGAAAAGATAACGGTGGGGAGTATATATATGATTCATTCTTTGAGTATTGCAATAAACATGGAATTCAACACCAATTGACATGTCCTCAAACCCTACAAAAGAATGGAGTTATTAAATGTAAGTTAGCACACGTTATGACCATGCCTTTGTCATGGCTACATGCAAAGAATCTTCCAAGAGAGCTATGGGCAGCAGCTGTTCAGACCGC